GTATATGGAAATGAGTTTTATTTGCATATTAAAATTATCAGAATATGTAATAATATTTTAAATTGTTTATTTCCTTACCAGGAACTTCAGCATGAAAATATCGTAGCACTCTATGATGTTCAGGTACTTTATTTTGGAATTTCTTAACTTTAAATTTAAAAAAGTTTATTTCATTTGAATTTAAGTGAATTCTAATGGAATTCTTAATTCTTCTTGAAAAGACATAATTTGAGTTACATTAATTTTCTTTAATTTTTAAAATTGGATTTATTTGGGCTAGAGAGAGGGCTCAGTGGTTAAGAGCACTGGTTGTTTTCCAAAGGACCCATGGTCAATTCCCAGCACCTACATGGAGCCTCACAACTGTAACTCCAGTCCCAAGGGATCCAAAGCTTTCTTCCAGTCTCCCTGGAAGAAATGCACATGACACACAGGCATACATACAGGGAAAACACCCATGTATATAAGTGTAGCAAGCTTTCTTATTGGACTATCTTTGGACTGCCAGCCTACAAATAATGACCTGGATATTTATTATTAATTATGAAAACTTGGCCTTAGTTTAGGCTTGTCCCAACTAGCTCTTGTAACTTAAATTAACCCATTTATATTACTCTACATTCTGCCATGTAGCATTACCTCTCTTTCATTTGCACCTCTTGTTTCCTTTCCCTGTCTGTCTGGCGACTCTGCCTTTCTTCTTCTGGAGTTTTCTCTTTGTCTAGAAGTCCTGCCTATACCTCTTGCCTAGCTATTGGCCAGTCAGCTTTTTATTACACCAATCACAGCAATACATCTTCACACTGTACTAATATTCTTCAATATATAAGTTTTTTTGGTTGCATTTATTTGGGGTGTCTATATGTGGTGTGTGTGTGTGTGTGTGTGTGTGTTTGAGTGTTTGAGTGTGTGTGAATACATGCTGTGGTGTACATGTGAAAGTCCAGGGAATTGAACTTGGATCTTCAGACTTGGAGGTCAGTGCCTTTAGCCTAAGAACTGTCTCACCAGCTCTAAGAATTTTTTAAAAATAGCATAGAGCCATAGGTTAAAATAATAATGTGTTGCATGAGTAAATGTAAATACACTGCAGTGTGGTATTGCTTAGTAACTTGTGGTTTATATCAAATCTAGCATTTGTTTGTTTGGTTTTTCAAGACAGAATTTCTTGTGTAGTTGTGGCTGTCCTAGAACTTGCTTTGTAGACAAAGCTGGCTTTGAACTCACAGAGATTCACCTGCTTCTACCTCCCAAGTGCTGGGATTAAAGGCGTGCTCCATCACCGCTGGCTCCTATCATATCACTCCTTTAGTAAATGTAAAGACTATTGTGGTCAACTTTAAAATTAGGTAAAACCCTTTTTCTTATGAAAGCAGAATTTGTAAATCATAGAAGTAGTAGGAAGTAAAAACAAGGATGCTGTGCATGTTTACAGAGTGTGTGTGTGTGTGTGTGTGTGGTTATCAACATGGCATATGCTAGAACTATTGTATTTAGATAGGAAATCTGGATTCTAAGGTCATTTTGTGTTTGCTTTTTTGAGGCAGAGTCTAAAGTCATCTAAGGCAAACTTTGTAGTCAGAATCATTCTTGGAAATCTTTGGAGAAAAGTCCAGTTTTCTGATGAAGTAGTTGGCTTGCATTTAGAGGGTATATGATGCTTTTGAGAAGTCATGGTTTACATGCTAGAGTCATGTGTGGCTAGTGTGTTCAATGTAAGAGCACAGGGACTAAAACCTTTAGAGGGACCAGAATAGCATACTTTTAAAGTCCTTACTTCAGGGAAGCCCAGTATTTAAAGTTTGCCTTTCTTTTTACTGTTTTGCTTCATCTGGACGTTAAATTCCAGTAAAGTAAATGGATGGCTAGGTGATTCTGTTTTACTCCTAGTTAAAAACTTCTCTGTCCATTTTTAAAAATTGTTCAGGTGCATTCATTTTGCAAACCTTTTGAGTGGTTACCATACACCAGGCATTATTCTGAGTATAGAAATAAAGTGATGGACAAAGTTCTTGACTTTGCTATGCGATGATACAGAATGAATTGTTATAATGCTTATCTAGTCGTATCATATCACAAGATATTTAACTAAACCCATGTTATAAGATGTTTAAGTTTTTTCTTTTACAGAAATGACAGCAATATACCCTTTCTGAAAGTATCTTTGACTTGGGGATTTGGAATTTCCAGCTCAAATACCATGTACAGTGTTAAAATTTTTGATTATAGAGTATGGTTGCTTTCCAAAAATACCTGCAGTGTAAACTCCCATACACAGAAAATATGAATATCAGATTGAGTAGATATAATTCACTCCTTCATTTGTGAAATTCAAAGCAATATAGAAAGAAAGGGCCCAAAAATTCTCAAGTCAAAACTAAATTCATATCAGCGCCGGGCATTGGTGGCTCACGCCTTTAATCCCAGCACTCGGAGGCAGATCTCTGTGAGTTCGAGGACAGCCTGGTCTACAGAGCGAGTGCCAGGATAGGTTCCAAAGCTACACAGAAGAAACCCTGTCTCTAAAAACAAAACAAAAAAATTCATATCAGCATCCCTAGCTGAAATGTCCATTCTCCTCAGAGCTGTTTGTGTAGCTTGTACTCTCTGTGGACAGAGGGCACTGGGTGGTGCAAGTTGGTGCCTAGTACAAAAATTGTTAAATGATATTGACTTCTCATTTACCATTCTTAGAGGGTTAGAGAACCCTGGTTATAGGAGAGCAGGTTTTGCTTTCAGAGTACTTTTATTTAGATGTCTTTTCTCTCAGAATGAAAAACATTTTTTAGTACCAGTTTTGATTGTGGAATGAACTATCATTAGAAATAATGTAACAAAATCCAAGTTATCAATCTTTGAATTCAAGATGTCTGGATGAAAATGTTTTATTACCCATTTTGTACTCCTAGAACTAAGATATAAAATAAACAAGTATAGCCTTTGGCTACCAAATAAACAGTCTTGACCTAATAGTTTAGAGTTACTTCTTTGATTCTGTTTGTTCATAAAGGGGAAATAGTATGTTTAGAGACTAGTATAAGACTTTATATAAACAGGAATGTCACTTTATCAGTTTTGGATAACTGTGTCAAGTTTATGTATACACACACACACACAGACAGACAGACACACACACGCGCGTGCAGCTATATGTGCTGTTTCTGTTTTAAAAGTTTTTTACATTTTTAAAAATTCTGTATGCGGAGAACTGTGCTGTTTTTCTGGGATTTTGTTTTTTACTTTTTTTTTAAATTGGAGTTTTAGAAGTCAAAGGACAGCTTTAAAGAGTTGATGCACTTCTTCTTCTGTGTAGATCTCAGATACTGAACTCAAGTTGTCAGTGGTTGCTGTTGGGCATCTTTACCCACTGAGCCATCTCATTGGCCTGTATATACTTGGTTTCTTTGTGTGTCCTTTCAAGACAGTACTTCTTTTGTGTGGCCCTGGCTGTCCTGGAACTTGCTATGTAGATAAGGCTGGCTTCAAACTCATAGAGATCTGCTTGCCTCTGCTTTCTAAATGCTGAATCAAAGTCGTGTGTCACCACAAGTGACTGTATATGCTTTTATAAATTGCAAATTTTCCTTTCTTCATTCATTTCCTTGCATTCCATCCACTTCTTAGTTCTTGTTGTGCTGTTGTTCAAACACAGTGGGCTTACCCATGCTATGTATATGATCTGCATCCTAAAGTAAGCACTTCTGACATTGTTGTAGTTTAGATAACACGTAAAGGAAACCCAATTTCCCTCTAATTATGTTAAAACCATCAGACATTGTTAGAATGACAAATTAGAAAAGAAATGACAGTTCTCACATGTAAATATTGTTTGGTATATTTCTTTTAGAATTTTATGACCTTGCAGAGGTGGTACATGCCTTTAATCTCAGCACTCAAGCAGGCAGGGAGATCTCTGTGAGTTCAAGGCCAGCCTGGTCTACAGAGTGAGTTCTAGGACAGCCAAAGCTACACAGAAAGACCCTGTCTTATTTTATAGCACATTAATCCTTAGTTTTTATTACCCCCCCCCGTACCGAGTTTTATTAAGTATTTCATTAAGGTTAAACCTCTAGGAATGAGGGCACAAAAGCTCATGAAGCCATCTCAGATCTTATAGTGAGCCACCGGGTCAGGTTCTTTAGTAGGATTGCCAACTTGTTCCAGGTACAGATTATTGTAAGGGTCCTGCTTTGGTTCCACAGTTTGGTGGTGGGGAAAGTCTCCCTAACCCAGATCATGAAAACCATGAAGGCCACAAAGCCAAAGAGCGTTTTACACATGACATCCCAAGAAACACGTGTAAGGGACATATCCACTCGATTCCTGATATACATTTCTAGGTCCCGTGCATCCTTTCACCCCAATTCACCCTTATACTATAGATCTCATTCATACTATAGATCCTTCTTGTGCTGTAAGCAGTCAGGGAGCTTCTGGTAGTCACCACACTCCACTCTTAGTCTTCCATGCACATAATATACTTCTTGGTGGCTGCAGCCCATTCTTCTGGGGTCCTAGGATACAGCCCAGCAGAATGTCTTGGTCAAGTGGAAGGCTGTCCCTGTCCCCAGTGGCACCATGTTTCAAGTTTCAAGTTGCCTTTGCAGCCTCCAGACTCCCAAGGGCTGCTTCCCCGGCTGTGGTAGTCTTCATCTTCTCAGTTTTTGTTTGTTTGTTTGTTTGTTTGTTTGTTTTGTTTTGTTTTTTTTTTTGGTTTTTTTTCAAGACAGGGTTTCTCTGTGGCTTTGGAGGCTGTCCTGGAACTAGCTCTTGTAGACCAGGCTGTTCTCGAACTCACAGAGATCCACCTGCCTCTGCCTCCCGAGTGCTAGGATTAAAGGCGAGCGCCACCAACGCCCGGCAAGTTTTTATACTTTTAACTGTGAGAAATTTGTTAACCTTTTTGTACAGAAACACAGTGGGTGTTTTGTCAAGTGCTTCCCCCACCTTTGGAGACAAGGTCTCTCACCAAACTCTCATGAGATAGGCAAGGCTCATTCCCTAGGTAGCAAGCCCTGCCTGTTGTTGCTTTCTCCCTGCACTGGGATTGCACGCATGTGCTGTGTGGGTTCTGGGGCTTTAATTCAGGGTCTACTACTTGTAAGGCATTTTACCAACTGAGC